CTATCTATCTATCTATCTATCTATCTATCTATCTATCTATCTATCTATCTATCTATCTATCTATCTATCTATCTATCTATCTATCTATCTCTCTCACTCACACTTGGCTGCACGGCACTAACGCGTTAAAGAGCTAACCACGGCCTTGCAGCCCCACGCACCAGGCTATCCGCGATAACTCGCTAATGGAGATTTGCCACTTTAATGCAGTTATAGAGTTAAGGTCATTTTAACAAGATTAACGCTGACAGCACTCATATAAATTTAACCTTTTTACCTTTTACCACTCACATTTAAGCAAAACAAGGATGTATGCAAGTAAACAGACCTTAACAAACACATTTGCAGAAATGCTGCCTTCAGTTAAAAAGGTACCACCTACCAATTATTTCAACACTGATTAGTTTGTTTCTACCAGTTTGTATTTGTCATTTGTAAACAATCATTACCACGCTGAACAAGAAATAACACTGGCTGTTATTTGATGTAATCAAGTGGATACTTATGCTGATTTCTGCCACCTCAAAAATTTGATTTGTGTTTAGCCTGAACAAAATTTCAGATTATATATTTCCTCCCTTTGTCGAAACAGTTAACAGGTACTTTAACTTTAAAGGTGGCATAATATGCTCACTTTTATCTCAGTATTTTTATTCTTGTAACTTATCCTATGCTATGCCACGTAGTGCAGTTCCTCAGTTCACCTGCTTTATGCTCCATTCCCTTTTAAGCTAACTTTCTTATGATTAGTTCCCCTTATGATTAGGTAAATGCTGTGTTTAATATGACCATCCACTAGTGTAGCTGAATATATAATGAGAGAAAGTAAGGACAAGCTACATAGGTCCACTTTAACCAGCCAATTACAGGAAGAAAATCTCTTGTACGTCTTATTACCTGGTTTAAAATAGTGATGTATCTTATGCGCTTGCATGCTCTTTGTGGCTTTCTGTGTTTGTTGCACCCTACTGTGCGCTCCCTCCCTTACGCTTCTTTGCAGATGTACGTGACACTGGTGTTCAAAACCAAAGGCACGCGGCTCACCAAGCCCACTATCAGCCTCACGCTGCTTTGTCTCGCCATGCTAGTCGGTGTGGTCAGAGTGGCTGAGTACCGCAACCACTGGGCTGATGTCCTGGCGGGATTCTTCACTGGGGGAGCCATCGCTGTGTTTTTGGTGAGGAGAGAATAGAAGGAGCAGAGAGACAGGCAGACAAATAGATTAAAAAAGAAAGACATGTTCTCAGTTTTTTAAGCGCTCCATCTTTGCATGTAAAGACGAGCTTACTTGCCCCTGAGAGCACTGTGAAAACAGCTGTGTAATGTCTCATATGGTGATTTATTATCTTTCATCATAATGTAAAACAATGTGTCTTAGAAAAATGTCCTGTTAGGTGCTTTTAATTATGAAAAAAGACAAAAACGGTCATTAATGGGCTACATATCAATCAGATGATTAAAGACCACATTAATATCTCAACAGATTAAATGACATTCGGAAATAGGTTTGCATGCAATTTTAATATGCTGCACCACAGTAGCAGAAGTCAAGCAACCATTTTTTAAACCACACCCCTTTTTGTTAATGTTACTATACCTGGCGAGCTTTACATTTTCATGGCATGAGTCATGCTTTGGTTGGTTCTAACTTTCCCACTATAGTATCTGGTTTTGTTTTGACCAATTGCTTTGGTCCACTATAACAGTTTCCCATTGCAAGTACCACAATAATAAATTACTCAAGACATTTTCTTTGCTTAACTGATAAAGAAATACTGAAAAATAACCTTAATCTGACTATGAAATTGTTTTAAGTGAATTCCTAGGTTACTCCTTAAAATAACTGTAACATTTAAACAGGTAACAAAATGTTTTGTATAATTCATTGAATCAAAGTTGAGAGTCTCAATTTCAATTGTACACAGAGTGTTTCATTTCAAACCTATTATAGTGGCATAGAGACCCCAAATTATGAAAAATCATGTAACTGAAAGTTGCAGACCTAACAGTAGTTAGCGGTGCCTGATAATGTTTTGCAGTTTACACCCACTCATCATGAGCATGAATGCCATGGTAACTTTGGACTCCTAATTATTTCTTTGATATATTCTTTTTCTAGGATACTCTTTAATGACTTTAAAAAGCAAGAATTGGGTGCAAATGTTTGACTTTATTTTGGATTTTTTCTAATCTAATGTAATGCAATACAACCAGCAGCAAAACAACCCCAGATTATGATGCTACCTCAACCATGCCTGAGGCTTGGTGGAGTGTTCTTAGTAGGGGTGGGCGATATAAACGATATACGATAGAAACGATATAAATTTGGCCAACAATAGAGATTTTGACTATATAGCTCTATCACGATAGCGCATGTTGATGATGTCATCAAGCTGCGCCTGTTTTGGTCGATCCTGCTATGCGATTGCATTTGTCCCTAATCACCAGAATCCCTCACGTTAACTTTTATCGAGTGGAAAGAAAGTTGGCGTTCATCCTCCAGCTTCACTGTGCTAATGTTATGCTAACATAGCTGTGTCGCTAGCAATCAGGTAGCACAACATTATATACCAGGTAGTCCAACTTAAGTAACCCTGCAAACGCCACTGCTGTTTAGTTTAGCTGAACATAAAACCTTTCTTCAGGAGTGTTAGGTTTTGCCATGTGGGCAGCAGCATGTCTCAGTTGAGCTTGACAGTGCCACCTTTGGAGCAGGGCCTTCTTTCTTGGTTAGCACTGTCTTAGTCCATGGCTGTGAAAAAACCCACATCACTTTGGACAGTGACACTGGTGTTCCAGCAGTTTCCAGGTCATGCCTTGGAACCTTGGTGGTTCCTTGGTTGTTCCTGAATATCCTAACACATTTCTTCTCAGCTGAGGGTGACAGTTGGGTTTTCTGGTGGGGAAAAATCCAAATAACTTGCATTTACATAGAAATGTTTGAACTGATGGTGCAGTTCTTGAGACCTTCCCAACTTGTGTAAATCTATAATTCTCATTCTTAGATTTTCACGTGGACTTTCCCATTCTGAGTATCGAGTAATCCAGAGAGTACTGTCAAATTCTTTTTATGTTGAGTTGAAAAGTTGTAGAACCACTTGTAGTCAATCATGATCACTAATGAGAGGTTAATATGCTGTGACCATGTCAAGTTAAAAGACAAGAACCTTTCGTACCACATATTAGAAGATTTAAGTGAATGTATGTCGATATCTGAGTATGTTTGAGTACTTTTGACCCCGTGTGGATTGGAGAACAATATTTAAACTTGTGCATTAAAGATGTACACTGGAAAAAGAACGGTTCAAAGTTTTTATCCAAAGCCCAAAATAACTTTAACATTCATGCTCTTTGATAATTCGGTCCTTTTTTCCCCCAAAGCCCTTGTAAACCATTTTGCCACACAGGAGAATCCACTAAGCTGTTACTGAACAATCTGATTAGGTGTTGAATTTGGCAAATGGTCAATTTCTCTCATGTGTCTCATTCTGGTCCCAGTTAACTCTTTATGTTGGTTTCTATCATCAGGTGACTTGTGTGATTAACAACTTCCAACAGCTGCAGCCCGGTCTTCCTCCACCGCGACCCCAACGTCCCGAGTCAATGCTGGGCATGCCGATGGTGACACTGCCCTCCGTGGAGAGTCCACTCGAAAAGTTAAGTGGCCCTCAGGTAAGGGGCGGGGGTGGGTGTGAGGCACAACTGTGCTCACAGAAGGGCTGAGATACACACCCCTTGTCTCTTAACTGAATCCGTGACCTTCCTTTTGTTCCTCAAAAAAGAACAAATTCAAACATGCATGCTCCAAGCCCACCTGCACGCCCAGTCCTAGCAAAACACCCAAGTGAATCCTTTAAATCTCTGCGCACACGAGGCTTGTTGTACCCTGATAAGAACGCATGTGAGATTTGTTCTAGTGGTGTGAAATGAGCCACGGTTATGTTTCAGTCAGAGGATGGAACAAATTCTAGTGTGAATGTTTGCTTTGGAAAGAGGTGCTGCTTACTCCTAAAAATCCCACAGTGTTACAATTTTTCACGTTATCTGGTTTATAGAGAGAGCCACTTGTGTCTTTGAGGTGAATCAGCAGTTTGGCTGACACACTCCAAGTGTTATTTACCATTTGGATATAATGCAGAGCACTTGGCTGAAGGGAAACTGTGAAGTCAGCAGAGGCTAAAAGAAAATAGTCTTAGCTGTGGAAGCGATCCCCTCAAGTTATATCTGCTCTCCAAAAGTGCTGCATTTTCTAAAGCGATTCTCTCAGGGGTGAAGCATTTAGAAAAATATCGTGCGTCCTCTGTGGTCTCTCACTGTCGCTAACCCTCACCTGACTGCCTTGTTTTCCTCTGTCTCCCACCTTGCCTCTCTCCTTTCAATCTGCTCCCTTGTCCCTCACTCTCCTTCAGCATCTTGCACTCTCCTCCTCCTCCCCACCTTACAACACCTACGTCCAACCATTCTAACCAGCTTTGAATATTTTTTACCCAACGTTGTCACCCCCCCCAACACTATCTCCACCATCTGTTGCCTTATTTCTGTTTTTTGCTCTGTTGAACATCTGTTCTGTCCTCCCCTCATCCCTGTACATTGCTCTTGATTATTCTTTTCTTCACTTTTCTCTCTCTTCCTCCGCCTCCTCTCTGCCCCGTCCTCCTCTCTCTTTCTCACTCCTCTCTTTCCCCTGCAGACTCCGCGGGGATCTCCGTTCACAGAGATCACATGACCATCAGCCCTATCGGTTCCCCGCCACCCCCGATGTCCTCATACCGTCTCGCTCCATTTCCAGCGAAGTCTAGACCAGTCGGAGCAGCACTCACCACAATGCGCCGCCCATCCGGCTGGGCGGTATGCAACATTGCACCGCTCCTATTCCACGCAGGTCTAGACCCCCCACCCCTCCTAATACATGATACACAGCACACACATCCCCCGTTGCCCTCTCAACCCCCGGGGAACCGATAGGCAAACTCTTCAAAGACTTTCTCTTTGTTGGAATACCAGTAAAGTAAAGCTCTGATCAATAAGTACAGAGTCAGGTACATCTTTTTTTTCTTTCCTTTTTTTTTCATGTTGAAAAATGTAACTAATTTTTTTATATGTATATAAACTCAATCACATGAAGCTCACTTTCATCAGCAGTGGTTTGCTCTGTTACAAAAACGAAATCAAACGGTGACCACTGAGAATGTCCGCTGCTTCTTTTTCTCCAACCGTACGAGCGCACGCCTGTTTGAGGAAAGAACCCGAAAGGTGATGGTGAGCTCTCAGGACGCGGCTTTGACGTGCGCCGTGTTGGACCAAAGAAACCCACCTGAGGAAATGTGTGCTGCTGAGATTTACCCGTACAAAACATCCTTTTAGCAAGCCATATGAACACACAAACAAACACACTTGCTCTCCTTATTTCATCCCATGCACGTGCACACAGACACACGCATAAGCACCCACCAGGGTTGAGTAGCAGTGCCCTAGTCAGCTTCGCATGAGGTTTCCCAGGATCAAAGGATCCGTTTCTTATCCTTCAGCAGAAGCACCAGACAAATGCAAACAGGAGGAAGGTACAGACATCTTCACTTGGCTATCAACTTTGTGTTTTCCGTCGCTCTCAGATGGTTGCAATTTTGCCAAAACCTAATGTGAAACAGAAACACACATTGGATGAGACAAACCCAAGCTCCCGAATGCAGGTGGCACAACAGTGAGCCAAATTAAGTGCATCACATTCAGGAGTAAATATTTGTTTTTTGCTTGTTTTTTTTTTTGTATTCTTTTGCGAAGAGGAGCCTTCATACAGGACACTTCTCTGTGATGCCAACTGACTTTTAAAAAAAATGTCTCTTTCATTTAACTGTGGAACAGCATCGCTCATCCCGAAGTGGCGTCTCCTTTGGCTGCGTCGTGTAATTACTGTGATTTATTTCTGAGATTTTATTGATATATTGATTTACTGACGTTTGTGTATATACGGCGTGGTTGCCATAAGCGCTCCGTGTGGCGTGACAGTTTTGCTGATTTTGATTTGCACACTCCCTCACAATCCACTTTTGTCTTTTGTTCTCTTCATTTGCCTTTGTTTGCTTTTCCTTTCTTTACAAATACATTTTGTTTTTTACATTCTCCATTTATCTCTCTTCTCTGTAGTGTCTGTATCTAGGCTAATATGCCATCACTGTGCTGTGAAATGTTTCCCTCTGCTGGACAAACAAACACACACACAAACACACACACACACACACAAGCACAGACACACAAAGCACAGAAGACCTCGTTTTACAGACGTAAACTCTAACATATTTGAAAGCACGCACATGCACAAGCACACTTATACCCCCTACTTGTTACTGTACTTTCCTTCTCCTCTTCCCCACTTTCTAACACCGAACCTGTAAGATATTGTACATAGCTCTTTTTTCTATTGAGAGTGTGATTTTTACACGAGCATCACCAAGACTCTGTGTGGCGATTGAAGGAAAATCTTGTTTTTGTTACAATGATGGAGAATTCGAGCAGACGTGCTGAACCACTCTGACCCATCAGTTGGAAAGTACTCAGATGACTCACTTTTTGTTTCAATTTGCTGCGTCTGCCTGTTGGACTGAATAAAGCTGGATTGGAAAAGTCATTTTACTCTGACATCAGACACTATGTGATCCTGACTTTCTGAGTTTTATTAGGCCATTTTCACTTTCCTTTTTTCATGCTTTGATCATCCATCCATCCATCCTCTACTTTTCAGTTGTGATGGGGCAAGAGTGAGGTTACATCCCAGACAGGTCAACAGTTTATAGTGGGGCCATAAATTTAAAGCATAGATATCTAAACACCCTAAGAGATCTATTTTTCCTTTTTCAAGGCAATAGGTCAAGCTGTGAACACACATTTCACAAATTATTGCATTCTAGTTAGCACTAATACTTTATCTAACAGCTTTCACATCCAACTTAACAGATTAAGAGCTTTAATTTGATGAATGGTGTAATATTAATGATGAATGGGCATATTTTCTATTTTGGTTCTACTATGCTCTACTATGATCACCAGCCAGCTGCTAACTTTGTTTGTCTGCTGTCTACTTGGACCAGTTTTACAGTTACCAGAGGTTTCCCTACTGAAGGGAGCTTCCTGATCTTAAGTCTTAATTATCTGGCATAAAGTGAGACTCATTCATGATACCAGCAGATCAGCTGATCCTCATGCTATTCCACATTAGCTGATCAGACTTATGCTATTTGAGTTGGTGTAGCCTGTCTGCAGTTAATGCACTTCTGCAAGCTGCTTTGCAACCCACCTTGATCACTACCCCTTCTCGAATGCTCTATCTGACTTCATCAATGTCATGTCTATTGTGTAATAAAGCCGCAAGGTCCCAGAAAAGAATAATTGTTGCAGATGGAAAGGCATGTATCGCTTTTGGTTCCCCATTCATGTGGATGTAAGATAAAGATGGCCCAATTTTCTGATGATAGGCCTGTGTTGTAAATATGTGCCTCTCTGGCTAATCATTAGCATTATAACATTAGTGATAATACGCCATCAGACTGCGTGACAACAACTAAATCCTCCATCAGCCTACACATCTTTAAGTTTTTTGTTAACCTTCCTTACGAACGCTCCACTCACACTCTATGTGGCTGTCATAGGTATCATTTTGGAAATTAAAACAAAAAGAACATAACTTCTCTTCATTTTATTTTTTTTAATTGTGCTCAGCTAAATAAAAATGACCATCTTTTGGAGATCCAAATCTAGCACCCAGTAGATTTTATTTTTCATTATAGCTTCTACTTAACCAAAAGCATGTGTTTGACCATTGAGAATATGTGCTAAACTACCCTTATATAGTTCCCTGATGGATGCTAAGCTTCATTATCATCAGCATCTTGTACTTGTGAGAGGTTTGATTTCACTGAAAAAACAAATAAATAAATAATCAAAACTGTGACATTTTGATGGCTCAGAGAGCCAGGGCTACTTATACCACATAGTGTACCTGCAACTTTGTGAAGCTGAGTCAGACATGTGACCTTTGCTGCATGATGGCCCTTTGTTTCATGTGTTTCCTCATTTCTTTCCAGTCTTCAATGTCCCAGTGAAGCAGAAATGCCTTAAGATAATCTTGATGACAAAATGTAACGAAAGTGTTTTCTAAGCAGTGACTGGCTGTAATTTCATTTGCAAGTGCGAATTTGTCATTTGTCCAAATTCTCTGTGAATCCTCTGTGATCCAAAATGCACAAATGAGACACAATCAAACATGAAAGGTAAACACGCCCGCCACGAAGACTCGGATTCTCCACCGGCTCGACTGCCGTCGCCGCAGCTTTACTTTCCTGTAAAGTCTTCGGTAACACATGTTTAAAAATCAAACAACAAACACGCTGCAGTTGACTGACATGTGAATAAAAAGCACCAGTCTCCTTCAGATCTGCTACTCAGAGGCAGGACCGTGTTTCCTTTGATCCTGATGCAGCAAACCCTCTGTTTTTGTAAAGATTTGTGTGATGAGAACAATAAATGGACATTGAAATAAGAAAAGCTGTCTGTGTCAGTCTGCACTGCTTGTTTTGCTGTTGTGTTCTCAGAGTGATTGGCGGTGATTTTGTGTGTCAGAGCTGCTGCATTTGTTTTGCATGTGAACAGGATGCTTTTGTTGACTTGAGGAAAGGAAGCGGGGAGAAAAGGCTGCCAAGTCACACAAAAACTGGACGAAAAAATCAGCATCAGCAGGTCTTATGGAGTGATAGCTCCAAATTTTACATTTTTGGTTAAAAAGGTTATCAATATATAAAGAGGAGGTCAGGAGAAAGTTAGAACAGTGAACTGCCATGTAAGTGGAGGCTCTGTCATGGTTTGAGACTGCATTTCATTTCGTTTTGTTGGGAAAAAGTGATAACGTCAGGGCTTTTTAGAAAGCCTTCTGTCCCCTTCTTTGTATTTTATAAATGCAGCTCAACTCCTAAAGTATCTTCTGATCTCCTGACAGGGAGCCAAAGTATCACTGATTAAAAGAAAAAACTAATAACAAAAGGTACAGATTCATTTAAAATGATTAGTCACGACTTACTACATTATTATTCCCATTCCTTTCCCATATACACATGGTGTATATCTCCAGATGACAAATTCTTTACAAATGTGTCAGTACAGCAATGAAAAAAGTCCCACATCCAACATCCTACTTGACAGAAAGTACTTAGCAGTATTACCAGCAGCATGTCTCTATGTTCATTATCATTAAAAATCATGTTACTGGATCGTTAACTCTACATAACCTAGGCCCTTTGTCTCTTGATAAGTCTCACTGGGTGTCAGAAGTTTAAACATTAGAACAGAAAAAATGTTCTTTTATGCTTTTAAAGTTTTAAAGTGAAGTAGTTGTTTAAATGTAATCAAAATGAGAGAAGTTTTAAGGTAATTTTTCTCGACTTTAATTTTTTTAAATATAAAATCTTACTACCTAAAGTTACTTTTGAATAAATGTATGAAATCAGTTGCAGACAGGGTGCCCTATGTCTCTCTAAAATGTCTAGCTGCTGAGTTGTAAGTTAAAGTAACATTAAAGTGTCACGAAGCAGACCTGCGGTAGTTGGCTAGTTTCCACCTCCATCTGTTCCATAGGGAACTCGTCCTGCTTTATTCGTTGCCTCTACTAGAGTAGCTTTGCATACTTCACAGCTCAAAATAACCCTTATTTATCTCAAGTTGATGCAGCCACACACCTCATCCACTGTCTGAAACATGCTGTTTTAGCTTCTCTTCCATTAAGACCACCTTTAAGCTAGCATCGGGCACCCCTCCTAACAGGGTTAGGCTATCCACTTTCATTGACATTTATAAAGCCAGGAGTAGAGAAAAAGCCTTAAAGTATGGCTCATAGGGATTACTCGCACATACACTGACCTCATTGAACCCTTGGCCATCTTTCTTATGAACCAGCACCGTAACAGAATATATATGGCACGATCTGATGAGATATCCGCGCGTTGGTGTTGTTCCTACATCATCATTGATCCAGGATCATCAACAATGCAACTGATCAATGCTTTAGGTTAGCAGGAGCCAAGACATTAGATAATGCTGTTAAAACTTTCACAAGCGAACCCACACGAATAATGTAAATCTGACTAACATGACATCATTATGTTGTATAAATGAACAAATAAAACAATTGAAATGCTGATAATTTGTTCCAGAAAGGAGTTTTAGATAAACAAAGCCTTTTTTATCCTTTTGTTTTTTGCTTTCTATCCCCACTTTGCAAGGCTATGACATCACAAAATGTGATTGGCCAATTGCAACATTATTATGATGCAGGAACTCCAACACAAGGATATCAGATATATTGCATTTAAGAAAGATATTAAGAGAATCACTGGCATATATGAGTAATTCAGAGGCTGTGATGTTCAGACTTGTTTTTACGCATCAAGCTCCAGAAACTATTCACAGTCTTCCACTTAATAATGACATCATCAGGGGACATGCTGTTCCAACTGTTCTCACAGGCTGCTCCGCATGACTGCTGAACTGTTAAGTCTGCAAAGTGTTCTTTTAAACCTACAGCACAACTTTTAAAATATTCGAAAAAAAGAAACCGAAAACAAATACATACATAGTCTCATTCGGCATAAATTCCCAGTCTGTTTAAAGCTGTGTGACACGGCAGGCTCAGTACTGCCATCATGTGGGGTAAAGCGTTCCTTTCCAACACACACCTGAGATGGAGCTCAATGATTGTGAAGGGGAATTATAATCTTTTAGCCCAGTTATTTTCAGAGTTTTATTTAAAATATGTTCAAATGAATAAATTAAATATGAATTAAAGGAAGTTAAACTACGGTGTCACGCGTGCTGGGAATGACCACATGAAAACCATATGAAACTTTAAATTCAAAAAAATTAAAAAGTATGCTTTTTCTCATTTTCTTTTTAACAACACTTGACTGGCCACTCTCAAGGGGTGCATGCGTTTGCGGGTTAAATCCACACGATGGCGTTGTACATCACAGACATGTAAATATTAAGGGAGGGAGCACAAAGTCGGCTCCAACAAAGCATTCATCCTCCAGACGTGAAGAGACATCTCAAGCTGTGTCATGAAATGAAAGGAACAATCAAAGTTTCTAATGAGAAGATCTGCACCTGTGCACGCTAATGAGTTATAATGGCATCCATTTCCTTAATGTCACAGATAATGGTAAGAACTGCTTATACGTAAGCGTCTGCGCGCTCTGCCACTCTGCACGTGTGATTTGCACAGCGAGTGGCTCTTTTTTGACAGATTTTTTTTCTTTTTCTTTTTTTTTTTTTGGAGGGAAATTCGGGCCCATGAAACATGGAACACTATCCACGGAAAGCTGATCAAAGAAACCTTACAGTACAGCTGACGCTAATTGCAACCAGCTCAATTCTCCAGACTTTTAGAGAGAGATGCACCTGCAATTCCTAAAATAAATAAATAAATAAATATATTTTTAACTGCCTGACTGAATGTAAATGACTACCAAACATCCCAGTAAGAGAGGTTCAAAGGATGGTGCAGTTTCCTGGTGAAATCCCACCTGCAGCATCTTTCTGTCTCTTTTTTTTCTTGCCCATACAGGCCTCATTAGTGTGGGCAGCACAACTCCTTCTGTTAGTTTGCTGGGAATTTTAATTCCACTGTCTTCTCCTCTGCATTCCTATCGCAAAGGTTTTCTTGTAATTTTTGGTAATTTTATTTTCAACCAGAAAGCTCTTTTGGGTTTGAAGCTAAACGTGATCGGGGTGACCAAACGCTTTAATACCAACTCGGAGCAGAGTGGGTTTTGCATGCTGGGGATGAGTGCGCAAAAAATACGACTGCAGAATGTGCACTAAGAGATTTCTTAGAGAGAAATCATGTCATTTTTGTCTTCTTCTTCTTTTGCATAAGTGGAAAAGAAATACACTGAAGCAGTGACTGTCCTTGTTATTGTTTCCAGGAGTCTGATGACTTATGCTTATGATCCTGATAGATACAATCAACATCTTTCAATTCAACAGAGAGAAAATATATTAAAAATTCAAGGCTGAAGCCGTCTAACTGATTTATGCTTCGCAAATATGCATGACGTGGAGAGGCAAAGGTGAAAACACAACTGATCCTTTATCTCCTTCCCGAGTCAGTAAAACTGGACAGTCAAGTTACATATGGGCAAATGTGGACCATTTGCTCAGGAGATGATATCAAGTGAAGGTTAATCAATATTTATTGAGTAATTTAGCGAATTTAGGTGACCCATCACTAAACCTTAAATGATCTCTATTTTTAGCCTGTCGGGCTTCAGATTCATGCACATGTGTGAGCAGTGTGCACAAGGCTGAGAGATCTTCAAGTTTTTCTCTTTCCAAACCAACAAACAGCAAAAAAACACAACCGCACTATGCATCACATCTTCTACATAATGGGAGAAAGTGTAGATCTTTAACCCTATTATGCCCATCATATTTAATACATGAGTGTCTGAGACCTCTATCTCATCAACATGATCAGTACTTGCCATAATTTCAAAATGTTATGGACAAAACTTTTTTTTTTTTGTCTAAAGTTAACATTGTTGTTACAAAAAGTTGCACAAAATGCCCAATGTATCGAAATGCGATACAAAAAATATAATAAATATATAATAATGGGTCTTACAGGGTTAAATATTTGCAAACATAAATATATATTTAAATATTTGCTGCCCATTTAGACACTTATTATCTTGCATTCAATGACAAGAATACAGGCACCAGTCATTTTTGAAAGATCAATTGCTTCTTAACACAAAGCAATCACATGGAAGAAGCCCGACACTTCTAGGCATGAAGATATGGTCAACTTGGCCTCCTAAAGTTCAAACTGAGCATCAGAATGGATAAGAAAGGTGATTTAAGTGACTTTGGACTTGGCGTGGCTGTTGGTGCTAAATGGGCTGGTCTGAGTATGTCAGAAACTGCAGATCTGCTTCTCAACACAACCATCTCTTGGGTTTACAGACAATAGTCTGTAAAGAAAATATCCAGTGAGCAACAGTTCTCCGATGCCAGAGGAGAATGGCCTCAACTCAATAACCACTCATTACCACCTAAGTATGCAGAAGATGATCTCACAATGCACTGAAGTCAAAGTAGATGGGCTACAACAGCAGAAGACCACAGCAGGTACTTCTCCTGCCACCTAAGAAGAGAAAACTGAGGCTACAACAACTATCACCAAAAACTGGTTCAGGCTGCTTCTACTGAGCATTGTTTAGAGACCACAGGCACATGTATGCAACCGCTGTGGGTCAGAAGACTCACAAATTCCATCTGCTTTTATATTTTCTTAAATATTTAAATGAAAAAAGTGCACAAACCTCAGAGTATCGGACAACATGTTACTGTTGAGAGGTTGTTCTCCAATACTGTGCTGGACCTTACACAGCCATTCATATCATATGATACACGAGTTGTATAAAGTCCAACCACATCTTCAGCTCACTGCTGGATTATCTGTCACTACAGGAAGTAACAAGCCTTCTGAAATGGTT